TCTGAATGTGTAGGGTAGGAACTCAAGGGATTCATTTCATCATTTCCATTCCTCACAGGTGCCCCTGACCCCACAGCTGGGGCCAGCATTGATGATGAGAACTGTTGGCATTTGGACGAGGAACAGGTGAAAGAACAAGTGAAGCTCTTTCTCTCCCAGGGTGGTTACTATGGCTCTGGAAAGCAACTCAATTCAATGTTTGCCAAGGTAAGATATGAAAAGTTTTTTTTTTTTTTTTTTTGAGTAAACTGGGCTCACCACACTTCTGGCTTCATGTGTTGTAGCTAGCTCACTTGACCTACCTGTACTGAATGCTTGAAAACTAACTGTGGGGAGGGGAGCTGAGCAGAGCAGACTTGAGCAGGTTGCATCCAGGGACCCCTACTGCCTCACCCTGGCAGTCCTCTTCCTTCTGCTCAGCTCTCTAAGTGAGTTAGCATTCCTGGGGGGATTAGTAATGAAGCTACCTTCCCTCTGCTTTGAACCCAAGGCTGCCCATGAGGCTTTAAAGAGACTTAGTATTTTGGAACTGGGGACTCTCACAGCAGGCTTTCTCTCTATTTTTTTTTTCTTAACACCTTTAGTGAAATATAAATCACATAGAATAAAATTCACCCATTTTAAAAAGTGTACAATTCAATGGTTTTTAATATATTCACAGATATGTACAGCTATCACCACAGTCAACTTTAAAACATTTTCATTATCTTAAAAAGAAACCCCATACCCTTTACCTATCACTCCCCTATTCCCCATGCCCCACTCCCCCAGCCCTAAGCAACCACTAATCTACCTTCTGTCTCTATAGATTTCCATATTCTGGACTGGCTTCTTTCTCCTGGAATAGTATTTTAAAGTATTTAAAAACATACATCCATGCTGTAGCATGTGTCAGTACTTCATTCCTTTTTATGGCCAAGTAATATTCCATTATATGGATACCACACTTTTTGTTTATCCATTTGTCTGTTGATGGGCATTTGGATTGTTTCCATTTTTTAGCTATTATAAATAATGCTGCTATAAACATTCTTGTACAGTGTTCCTGTGTGGACATATATATTTTCATTTCTCTCTAGGAGTGGAATTGATAGGCTATATGGTAGCTCTGTGTTTAATCATTTGAGGAATTTCTAGACTGATTTCCAAAATGGCTACATCATTCTACATTCCCGCCAAACAATGTATGAGGGTTCTGATTTCTCTATATCCTTGCCAACACTTATTACCTGGCTTTTTTTTTTTTTTTTAATTTCATTTTTCCTATTATTATTTTTTTAAGATATTTATTTAGTTTTGGCTGCATTGGGTCTTCGTTTCCGTGCGAGGGCTTTCTCTAGTTGTGGCAAGCGGAGGCCACTCTTCATCGCGGTGCGCGGGCCTCTCACTATCGCGGCCTCTCTTGTTGCGGAGCGCAGGCTCCCGACGCGCAGGCTCAGCAGTCGTGGCCCACGGGTCCAGCCGCTCTGCGGCACATGGGATCCTCCCAGACCGGGGCCCGAACCCGTGTCCCCCGCACCGGCAGGCGGACTCCCAACCACTGCGCCACCAGGGAAGCCCCTGTCTGGCTTTTTGATTCTAGCCATTCTTGTGAGTGTGAAGTGGTATCTCATTGCCCACAGCAGGCTTTCTTGATACATGCAAAGAACTTACATACAGAACAAGAGGCCTTCTTTTTGGCTCTTTGGATATGCTGTGCTTAGTTACTTCATCTTCTCCTCCCCCTCCTCCCCTTCTTTCTCCTCCTACTTTGTCATGATGTGCAGTCACCAATTCTTGCCCCTCCTTATGTGTCAGGTTCGAGAGATGCTGCGGATGAGAGATTCCAATGGAGCCAGGATGCTGACGCTAATAACTGAGCAGTTTATGGCTGACCCACGACTCACACTCTGGAGGCAGCAAGGAACAACCATGACAGATAAGTGCAGGCAGCTCTGGGATGAGCTAGGTAAGTCCGCATATCTCAGAGAAGTGCTATGTCTATCCTATCAGCTTGCCCCCTGGCAATAGTGTTAGTGAACACTTGCCATCAGTCATTACATGGATCTTGCTAAGTGAACTTTAGCCCAATTGGCAGAAGATATAGGCTCTACAGAGGCTACCCAGAGTAATTCTGAACTCACTTGTGTTTCTTCCACAGCATTGTGCTTTGCTATTGACATCTGCATTCTGTTCCAGTTGTTACCACATAGAAGCCTTTGGTGAGAGAAAACCTTTTGCCTTGGCTTCTGTTCCATGGCATTAGCCTGGCTCTCCAGATACTTACCAAATGCACTTTTCTTGCTTTCCCTGGGTCTGCTTTTCTTTATCACCCCCAGACAAACCTCTTAGACATAAGGCAGTTTCCAAGACTTGGGCCTTGGACTTCTATTCTTTCTCTATACTCTTTTGAGAACTCTTTTTTTTTCAATAGCATGGCTTCAGAGTTTCCTTTATGATGATCTCATCCTCATCTTTTTTCCACTTATCTGAGTTCCAGTCTCATATTAGCAGCTGTCCTATGACCATTTCTACTGAAAAAAAATCTCCTGATCACCTCAAACTTGAGGAACCCAAAAATGAAATCAGGGCTTCTGTGAAAAGACATTTCCCTGAACCTGGCATTGGCACCACCATTTCTTACTCTACCAAACTTGTTGTCAAGCACTCATTTTTTGTTCATTCCCTACATCCAGTCACCAAATTAATTTGATTCCTTGACCTTCAGAATGCAGTTTAGTGTCCATTCACACTTTTTACTTCCCATCACCACTGATCTGGTTGAGGGCCTTGGGACTTTTAGATTAAATTAGACCTGTGGCCTCCTGACTGGCTTCTCTGTTCTAGATTCTTCTCATCAAGGCCATCTACTTTAGTCATTATTTGTCTTTATCATTCCCCTATTCCAAGGCTAGTTTTGCAGGGCTAATACTCAGCTCCTCCCCCTGTTTGCAGAATCCTCCATACTCTGAACTCACTATCCAGTCATGGCCCCTCTCTTGGGTTATACTGGAAAACTTCCATATGACATATTCTAAAAGTTCTATTATAGCTTCTCCATACTCCCTCCAGCCCAGAAAGAAACGACAAACTTTCCACTCATACAAAATAGCACACGAAAAAAACTAAAGTTTAGGGGCTTCCTTGGTGGAGCAGTGGTTGAGAGACCGCCTGCCGATGCAGGGGACACGAGTTCGTGCCCCAGTCCGGGAAGATCCCACATGCCGCGGAGCGGCTGGGCCCGTGAGCCATGGCCGCTGGGCCTGCGTGTCCGGAGCCTGTGCTCCGCAGCAGGAGA